ATCGCATATATTGAGTCAGTGGAGTCTGGTATGTAGTTCAGATAATGCAGCATCCATAATCTATACGACCGCTAGTAACGAAAACCATGGTAGGACCTGTCTATCATCTCCTGTGAGTTGATGAACTTCCCCAAACACTTCTTTACCAATTTCTCAAACAATCCGGCTGTTATAGGAGTGTTATGGCTTGGTCTCTAATTGTCAATCTCCAGTTTTGCGTAGCCCATATGGCGAGTGCTGATACAAGAAGTGTTCCATCGATATAGAAAGCGCTTAGATCCCAGTGAAACGGCAAAGAGATGCAGAAGGAGCAGTGACATCAGGTCATCCCAGTTTCATGACGGATGGGGGAAGCCATCAGCTTCCAGAATGGAGGACGGTTGAATGAAATGTTTTGCTTAGTGGATATTGCGGAGGGCAATAGCACTTTAGATGGAGTGCTTATGTATTGATAACGTTACTCTCAACGTTCATATAGGTGGAGAAGAAAGAGGTAAATGCCTCACAGATGGCGCCTGGATCTCGTCCACCAGTTCGGTGATCAAGGAAAAGCGTTCGTGGGTCCTTCAACAGGGAAATCTGACCAACTATTTCGCTTAACATGTCATTCATTGGGTTGCTTGCTCTTTATGTGTTCTCCCCATCAACTGGAAGTGCTTGCCTTTCGAGATCAAGCGGTGCATCTGTAGAATCATTGTAAGACATCCTGTGCTTTTCTAGCGCGTTGTTGGTTTGTTAGATTTATGACTGATCGAACATTCTGCTGCATCTGTTTAAACCTCACGGATTCGTTTTTCTTGTATAGCAACAAGGGTTACGGCTTGCTGAACCTAATGGTAGAAGTGCTCCACGTTTGTGCAGACATGGTTGGAGAGAAAGAAAGCATCCAAATCAGATGACCGGATAATTTGACGGAAGGGTTCCCAGTTAATCCTGTGGGTGGTGTAGTAGTAAGGAGGTACTTGTTTGTTGGCCATTTTTCATGTTGCGGTAGCTACCAGACATCTTCTCTAAAACATCACCCTGTTCGTTGTTCATACGCAATGTAAACATCACGTCTAATGTGTTCGTCAACCTAGTTGACATAGTAACCCACTGTGTCCAACCAGCAACCCTAACGGAAAAAATGAAAGCTCTGTGTATAGACAAGAAGGTCTGGGAAGACCAGTGTATCTTCGGCATGTTAAAAGCACGTATAATTATTCCTTGTTTGTGACAATTCCGATGCAGAATCGAAAGTTGGATTGATACGAATAACATTCACGTTTGATGAATTTAGCGGTTTGCGGATACATGCAAGTAAACCGAGGTTTATGAGACGACGAACTAGAGGGAATCAGAGACATTTTCCAGTTTTGGCTGTTCAAGCCGTTCAGCAGTACATGTGTGATGGAGTTACTTGAAGCATTCTCTGACTTTGCCGATACAGCGACTTTTACGAAAAAGGTGTTAAAAGGGGGGTAAATGGATTAGAGTCTAAGGTATCAGAGGAGTACCACGCATATGGTGGTCAGTTGGTCAGTCGGTCTGTTCTTACTGCCATGTGGTGGTTATTAGCTAAAACAAATATAAGCAATGGTCTACTGACTCCTGGCTTCGCTAATGCCCATCGCTAAAGTATGTATATTCCTAGATTTCACTCCACGTCCGAACGTGCACTGGTTACCCAGGCAAGAAGTGGCGTCTACATCCAGGTCGGTTAGCATACGGTTGCTCAGTTCAGTCAATCAGTCACCCGCATGTTGTGACTATGCGATCCGCAGGCAAAATAAGAACGGAAATATCTGCTGCTTCCAACTAATTACGATCTTGAGAACGAAGCACTCTGGACTACTGTCCCATTGTGAAAAAACAAACCAGCAGTAGTGTCGTCAATCGAAAACTGTGTGTCACAAGCTTTCCGACCAACTATTTCACTAACCTATGGACAGTTATTCCGTGATATGAGCAACCACAATTCAGTGAGGGCCATTCATGCACCCTGCGTGAATTGTTAGTTCCATCAAGCAGAACCAGTGCTTTGTCCACTGGTCGCAAGTGTTATGATGATTTGACCAAGGTCTCTAGTGCTTTCGCCTCCAGATCCCCACCAAATAGTTTTCACAATCGAGTCATGCGCTAGTACCCACTGCATGGGGTCAAATTTGTGAGCGAATAGTATTTTCAACTAATGATACGGGTTAATTCAAACTTGTGTTACCAAACAAGTTAGAATAGGGCGTGTGCCAGCCATTGGAACTGATTCAACTACCACGCCGATTGTGCTTCGTAACTGAGCTATACCCGGTTATAACTTGCTTTGATGTTTGTCGCTGCAAGTGCTCCAACTGATTTGGCTCGAAAAGGTACCAATGGGGGCGATCCCACATTCTTACTAATGGAGTTAACGAGATTTACACACCGAATATAATTAATAAAAGATTTAATCCGCGCCGCAAACCTACTTATAAATAGTTGTTTGTTTAATAGACTCCCAAGGCAGCTAAGACGGTAAGATAGTCTTCGAATCAGTTGGTGGACCACTTAATTCCGTGTGTGCGCTCTTCCTGTACATTGGTTTGGCAGAATGCCACAACACATGGGATACAACAAAAAGGGAAAAACAAGAAGTCAATGGAAGTGTTATGTGGGTTTCTGTGTTGTGTAGGAAGATAGCTTCCCGGTTGCCCAGGTCGAGGCAGAGGGTTGATTTAAAGAACCCCACACGGAGTCTGAAGCCGTAAAGACCTGACCCGCAAGGTAGCGGCGCAATTCACCCAAAGTACTGAATACACAGACCGTTGGTAGCCTTTTGGCTCATTCGCCTTCTTTGTATTCGGTAGCAGTCCGCACAGAAGCCGGTGGTCAGCAATATTGTTTATCCGACCTCCGTTAGCTACTCACCGCTTGGTACAGAAGCGAGTGGTCAGTGACGCTACAGACAATCACATTGGCTTTGACACAGCACCTTACGAGAACCAGGTGAGCAGCCCAGAACTCCCCACGCTCTGAGACGCTGCCGCTGATAGCGAGCGACTGATTATTCATCTCGATTGCAAAGCAAACGAGGCTTATCCGTAGTTACCTCTACAAGGAAGGCAATCTCAATTTGCAAACCCGGGACTCGCCCGATAGCGTACAACTGCGCCACGAGTTGGTAGCAGAGTGGGACAACGTTATGACAGATCGAGTACTAACTAGTCCAGCAGGATTCTTGACCTGTTTCACTGCCTTCCCGTCTTGCGTTTGAGACTTTTTTATCTCTCGCACCTCGACCTTTCTGCTTCAGATACAGTGCTACCATCTTTCGCTGGAACCAGATGACCGTTATGCCATCTGTACAACTTATGTCGTCCGTGTAACGCATTGCAGTTTAATGGAAGTGGAACTAATACCCGTAGGATTCATACAAGTTTCACTTGGGTGACTGGACGTTAATATAAAAACTGGGGTTGCTGAGTCCACAGCACTTATCCGTTAACTGATTTCTATACAGAACGCTATTGCATGCTCCAGTTTACTGTTTCATTCTTGTAATTTTGCTCAACTGACATCATCCATTATCGGCCGGTGCTTATGTAACCGAGTTTGCCGTCATAATTTATATAGCGAGAGTGGTCGGCTCACGCTAACAGACTAGCGGCGAGAAACGTTCCCAGTGAGGGAAAAAGAAGGCACGAAGTGACGGGACGAAGGTGTATTGTGGTACACGCTGTTCCTGTGTAGTATCTTAAACTACGACACCGAACGACGCAGGTAGCTAGGGAAGGATGTGAGGGACCACGTGATGGAGTGGCGTGTTGAATCCAACCGTGGCGTCGTGCATGTGTTTCGCGTGTGTGTTGGGTCAGAGAAACAAATGTAACATACATATCAGTATGCTGCAAACAACCTCTGTGTGCAATAAGAAGGTAATTTTATTTAATATTTTACACAACATACTCAGGTAATCTGGGGGAACCTCCAGACTGCTACATTTGCCTCATCACAGAAGACTTTAAACCAATGATGTGGACTTTGGTTGCAATGGATAGAAGCAAAGCAGTCCGTCTTGTATACATGTAATGGTTTTTGTTGCTCTCTGTATCTAGCAATCTCTGAATTCTGTGGGCAAAACAGGCACTGCTGTTGGAGTGGTGATGGAATACCCCCATTGTCTGTCCATAGTGCTTTCGTTTCAGTAGTGTTAGCCGCAAATTGACTCCTCCGTTTCAGGATTTGTTTCTCATCGTAACTGCGAACAGCCATAGACTGCATGCATTCGTGGAAGTATCTTGAATATATTCTGTTGCACCACCCCCAGACCGTATCATATTGAGTTCGTATCCTGCGCAAACTCGAAGGAATAGCACCAGGAGTCAGGTAGGTGAGAGCGACGGTTGCACCTTCGACACTTATGTCAATGGCGTCACACACATTGTTATCTCCGCAATTAAACCAGCAGTTTAAAACAGCACTATCAGAAATTCTATGAGCCCCACTCCTCTGGGAACAGGTAGCGATCCGCTGGAGCTAGTAAACGAGGTAGCGTCATCGGAGTTACAAGCACCCCGTCAGTATTCGCATCGTGTGCGAATGTCAAGCACTTGCAGATACAGTTGAACGATGCGCAGCTTGCATGGGTTTCTGAGAAAGAGGTCAGAAGGTGTCCATGTAACCCATTAGATATAACTTCGATATGTAAATCAAAAGCTCGAAATTCGAATGACGTGTCGCACAGAAATATCTGTGAGCAGGACGGACTGATCTCAAAAACTGGAAGCCGTTGAACACCTACTAGTGAAAACGAAATGATATTTGGTGCCCGGAAAAAATGCATACACAGCAGAGAACCAGAAGCGACTGTCAATCTTAACTGCGCTAGGACGTTCCGGTTCAGTCAAACCTGAGTGACAAAATATCGCTTAAGCATCGATCTCATCACCGGGCACAGCATCGCTAGTTCCGGGCGTGACAGTGGTGAGGTCGATCGACCTTGATTCTCATTGGTCGGAGTGCAGACCAATTCGATGCATGTGTGTAGGTCAGTTGCAAACCAATTATCTTCAAACAGGCAAGTAATCGCCTGTCTGCTCCTTAAGCTATGTGGATTCCTTCGCTGTAGGCCAACTCATTTTCACACGTTGACTGTGACTGTTAGGATGAATCCGAATGACATGAGCGCTTGGAATCTAGGTGGGCAACCACCTCAACAACAATACCCAGGATATCCGGGTTATCCATCCGGTCCAGCAGGCGGCGGCCCAGGTTACCCTCCGCAAAGTTACCCAGGTGGTCCGGCCGGGGGAGTACCCGGTTACCCTTCACAAGGATATCCAAGTGATCAGACTGGAGGAATCCCTGGATACGCTTCACAAGGATACCCACCCGGCCCAGCACAAGGTTACCCACCAGCTCCAGCTGGAGGTCCTGCTGCTGGCTTTCCACAAGGCTATCCAGGCGGACAATCCATGGGGACACCTGGCGGGCCCCTGACTGGAGGTCTGGGCGCTTGTGGCGCAGGCTTCCCATCCGGACAATCGTCTGTTGTCCCCGGACATTTTATGTCTAATTACGGTCAACCACAGGCTGCGGGACCTAACGCGCAACACGTGAGTACAAACTGTATCAGCCCTCTTATGGTTTTGCTTGGCTTCGGCGGTTATGCTGGCCTCGCTGTGTATTAGTATTTCACTTGGTGGTCACTTCATCTAAATTAGTCTCAAATGACGCTCCTGACAGTACCATGGCCGTTGATTGCAAAGAAGCGAAATGATTTTGCATTATTGACATGTTGATCAACGATGGATTTCGAGAACATCGTTTTTAACTACGTGCGCATGATGTGTGACTCGTCACCTCTGTAGAAATGAATCACAGGATATGCTGAGCTTCACCAGGCAAAATATTCACATTTCATTGCTCCTAACTAAAACCAGAAATCGAATTGGGGGTGAGTGGAGAATCCTTTTCCGGTAAAATATTATCAGACCCATGCGTTTAGATGGTGGAGTAAGGCTGGAAGTGTCGTAAAGAACAAACTATTAATCATGCGCAGTTTGAACGATAGATTCAATAACCTTGTCACAACTATGGATAATGTACCCAGTCAACAAATGGAATAGTAGGTAATGATCACACGAAAAGAAAGAAGTGAGTACCATAGTGATAATCAAATAGTTAAGTAACAGTGCTCGTGGGCTAAGGTAACGAAATGAGCCGCACATATTTTGAACACACAACTCAGGTTTCAAGTGGGGAAGATATATGGCCTCTGCAATAGAGGGCAATTGTTTGCGGAAGCATCGGGAGCAGCGTTCAGGCAATGACTAGATCACTCACTGCGTGAAACAGGATCCATCTGACAATGTGACAACAATTATCCTGTCTACTAACTGTTACAAAATTAGCAACCACATCCTGATACACCTAAGCCTAACGCTGCTGCCAAACATCCGTTATGTCTGTTATCACGCATTTCTGCTGTCTTGCATCGGCTGTGTAGCCTGCAATGAACTTTAGTTGGCCTCAAACCATCAGCTACTCACCAGCATGATACAGTTAAACGCATCACTTAAAAGTGCAACACAGCTTGTTCGACTGCGTTATTCTCGTCGGTCATGTGTCAAAATAGTCATGTGTTTGAGCTAAGACGGCTTGTTTTCACGCTTATTCAACTCCACTGCACATCTAACGATTGAACGTTGTGGTGCATCGTCTTTTACTTAGCTATCTTGACTGTCTGTACTTTACTCAGGTAACAACTTATAAACGATAAATATTGGATCTTGCCTGCCCGCCACACAGCACTCCTCGACCGGCTTTGTGCTTGTTTGCACTCATCAGATAGATACAACAGAACTGCGACGAACCCGGGATTTTCGACCTGTAAGCTGAACCTACTATTCTTAAGCCAACGATTGGCGGAGACCAAAATCTGTCACGGCAGTTAATGGTTCATTGGAGAGATTTTGAAACACTGATTGTGTGAAGAATGGATTGCCGACCAGCAACCTCAATTTGGATCACTATTCACAATGATGCGAAACTCGGCAGATTCGCTAGTTTAGGGGTTGGGGCTTCCGCTAATCATTCCATAGGTCCCAGGTTCGAGTCTTACGCGTGCGAATAAGTACGAAACCTGTTGTGGAGTGCAATGTTGTGAGGGGGCAACGCCTAACAATCATCTGATCGACGTTCACTTCTAACTGAATCGCGATTCATTCACACACAAGGATGGATTCCAAGTGTCTCCTCCAACTCACAGACCAATCAAATGCAAGTCCTCCTTTATTCTTTTACCCTCAGCGATCAAGTGACCTTGCCCTCTTAAAACCCTCTCTGCTTGACCCTCCTCTCCTCCAGTCTAGACCGACACTGGTACCCTATCCGCATTTCAAGCCCGAGGAGGATTGCGAGAAGTTGCGCAAGGCGATGAAAGGCTTGGGCACTGACGAGAAAGCCATAATCGACGTATTCGCACATAGAACAGCTGATCAACGTGTGCAGATTGTGAACAAGTTCAAGACCATGTACGGCAAAGATTTGGTCAAGGAGTTGAAGTCGGAGTTATCTGGGCACTTTGAGGATGTGGTCGAGGCAATGTGTTACCCGCTGGACGAATTCGATGCCAGGGAGTTAAGGCGCGCAATGGAGGGGGCTGGTACCGATGAGGACACGTTGATTGAAATCTTATGCTCCCGGAACAACGCACAGATACGAAAAATTAAAGAAACCTATTCAAGAGGTAAGAACGCTCACAATTAACCACTGTTCAAATCATGGAGTCAGAACTGGGATGGTATAGCGCGTCGATCGTGTGTTATATATCAGATTCGCGGCTAAACGACCGAGTGTGCATGGGAGAACACGAAAATAAGCTAGAAAAAAGGTTTATTGCTAATGCTAAAAATAGGGCACCAGAGAAGAGCTAGTTACGAAAGATGTAGCTGAGCCTCAAGTGCTTGGTCGGGTGTCCTCACGGTCAGAGTCGCGCGCTCCAAAAGCGGATATCGTGTGTTTCAAACAAACGGGAACACAGTTCCGACACACAAACCGCTTAATTCCTTAGTACATAAGAAAACTATAATTTTGAAATATTTTGGAATCATTTACACATACGGGGAAATCTTCAAGTCATTACAATGAGAAGTCGCATCGAGTGGAACAACACCGCGGCATGATTATTATTCCAAGGAGGTCAGCATCCTAGAAACACAATAATCTCCGGGAGTTTATAGTCTGTCTATAGGGCCATAATGTATTTTACTTTGTCTTTAGACTTCGCAAGGCTAGTTCACTCAGTTTAAAATAGTGTTGGAGCAGCGCGGTATCGAATCAGCGCTGAAACGTAACGTCGTGACTATACGACGGATATTGTGAACCTTTCCACCGGTCATTCTATTTGATATACATCTTCAGAAGCTGTGGTGGGTATTTTAGTGAATTAGAGACTTATGGGTTAATCAAAGAGTATATCGGAATAACTCATAGGGAATCTTAGTAGTTGGATTCATGTATTACTATCAAGTGACGGAGCCCTTGTACCCTTATTTGAACCAGACCAGAGACCTCGGAGTAAGCAACATGATTTGCGTAGGTGACAAGTATGTTCTTAACTTCGGATCCTACTTGCTAACGAACCGAGTTGCTTCCTTCATCATCACTGAGACACATGTACTATCACTTGTCTTGTAGAGGACCGTTACCTAATGAGTTAGAGCGCGGGGACAAGAGACATTCTTAGGCGAAAACTCAAACTAGAAGAAAAATCAATACACGCGTTATAGTTCCTCTTTCAGTCAATGTTATTGCGATGCCGACTAGAGATCCGAAGATATAAATTCGACTAGTGGATAGACGTGGCAGCAGCGCAGGCAGAGGCAGCAGCAAACGAAGGCAGCACGACTCGAGCGCGTAGAAAGTGTTGTATTCAAAATTTGTGGATTTAAACAAATGGTACAAAATGATCGGTAACGGAAATGATAATAACAAAGATAAAATATGGTGTAATCACAACCACTACAGTCTCTCCAATGGCGGAAATCTGTACACATTGCCTTTATCGTTGTAGGATGTTTTCTTATCGTAGAAACACGATTGCACAACTCGCCAGTGGGGTATCCATCAGACAATTCGTTTACATAGGTCAATCAGACAATAACCTTAACCATACCGGATTAGAAGTGGTATCTTTACGGCTATCCAGCATGACCAAGCGGACAACGTCAGTTCATCCGTTACCCTTTGGAGTCCTCGATCCTCGCTAAGACTGGCATGCCTCAACCTGCGCAATTTGCTACAGATTGGCCAACAGGCAGCACTCGCCCGCACACTAGGGACCCTTTCGATCGGTATTTGCTGTTTCTCGGAAACCCACCTGCAAGATTCGAGCTCCGTGCTTACTCTGCAATCCCACATATGCGACGCTGGCGACACATTCTCATTGCGTCTGTCTGGCGATGATGCAGCTTCAAATGCGGGTCAAACTGGCGTCGGCATTGTTTTGAGTCCTGGTTCTGAGGCTGCCCTGATCGACTGGATCCCAATAAACAGCAAGATGTGCGCCGTTAGATTAGCTGGTTCGTTCCGTGCTACGAATTCGCGCTGGGACAAACGGTGCCTGTTTGTCACTGCGGTCTACGCCCCTAGAAACTGTAGCACTGATTCGGTAAAAGATGATTTCTATCAGCAACTTCACGAACTTTTTTGTTACAGAAGAATCAGGGATATTGTGGTGTTGGCTGGCGATCTAAACGCCCAAGCCGGAAAATTGTCCTCTGATGAGCTTCATCTGTGGCCAACATGGTGTAGGCTCCCGTACTGATAACCGTGAGCGATTGCTACAGGTGTGTGAAGATGCTCGCCTCTTTCTTGCGAGCACAAACTTTCGACACAGCACCCGCAGAAGCGTGACTTGGCGGCCACCAGCATCGGGCCAACCATGGACGCAAATCGATCATATCGCGATCATTTACCGCTGGAGAGTCTGTGTCCAAAACTCGCTCGCTTTGGAGCCCAAGCGTTGACTCCGATCACGTGTGTGCCGACCTGCGGGTGCGTTTCGGCGGACGTCCGCAGCGTCGCTCTGAGCGCTTTAATACCAGCCAGCTGGCGAAGCCGGGTGTTCTGAATGCGTATCAAACTACGCTGGCATCTGGGCTGAGTAAGCGTCCACTAAACACCGTCAAAGACCACTGGTCGCATATTCGTTAAATGTAACTATCAGCAGGCATCTTTTCATGTGGCAAATCAAATTGCCAACCTAGACATTGGGTCTCTACACAGTCTCTGGAACTTATGAATGTTCACTGACGTATTCCGGCTGGAAGCGAATATAGTGAGACTCGCAAAAACCTCAGGGCAAAACTGCCTGCTAGCCTGAAGTGAGAACGCGAAGCCTGGTGGTCTCATCGTGCATCGGAAATAGAGACAGCCGCTGTCGTTGATAATCATCGTAAGTTATTCCGTCTGATACGGGAAACAGGCAGCAGGAGACCTGAAGTTAGCGAGACAATACGCGGTGAGAGTGGACAGCTGATCCACAGCTTGTCAAAACGCTTGGAGCGTTGGGCCGAACACTTTGAAAGGCAGTTTAACCAATCTGTTTTCGCTTTCTTTTTAGGGCATTGAGTGCTCTTTTCTCTGGGCCGTCTCTTTGGATCCGCCCTCACGCGCATATTGTTGAAATTGCGTAAGGCCGCAGGTTCAGATAGAATTCCCCCAGCTCTCTATAAATTCAGTAGGGTTGTTCTTGTGGTGGATTTACAAGAGTTGTTAATGGAACTTTGTGAGCAGGAAATTCTCCCGACAGACTGGAGCCGCTCCGTCATTGTTCGAATAAGGAAACATCCTACTGCGAGGAAGGCAATGTGATAAACAAGTGATAGTACATGTGTCTCAGTGATGATGAAGGAAGCAACTCGATACGTTAGCAAGTAGGATCCGAAGTTAAGAACATACTTGTCACCTACGCAAATCATGTTGCCTACTACGAGGTCTATGGTCTGGTCCAACTAAGGGTACAAGGGCTCCGTCACTTGATAGTAGCACATGAATCCAACTGCTAAGATTCCTCATGAGTTATTCCGATAAATCCTTAGATAAATCCATAAGTCTCTAATTCAGTAAAATACCTACCATGTGGCTGGGTCACGTGGTGCGCATGCCAGCACATCGACTTTGGTGACGTGCATAGTTTGCGCGTCGGGCATGCGGTTTGAAGAAGAGGAGATGAGGCCAAGCGATGAGTTGGTCAAGAGAACTGAAAACTCTCAATTCGAAGTTGGCGTCGGTTGATGCATCCCGACTGTCTGGCTGAGGTTTTAGGACGATGTACACGTTTGGTTGGACACACTTGCTGATATTACTAAGAGGCGGCCCCAATGACGTTTGTGTTGTGATTTTTTTGTCCACCCCCTCCAGCTTAGCCTCCCTTTCCAATCACGATCTCATTCGTTAGGCGTAATATAACTCTTTTTGCGGCATGATAGCCGGCTGTTAGCTCTCCAGAGCGATGTACATCCGTTACTGGGGAATCAGCCGGCCTGCCTCTTGTTTCTTTCTTCTTGTTTTTTCTATTACGGCACAATAGCTGTGTGGATTTGCACTGCTCTCCGAGCCTCGCAAGCTATCTAGATCTAGATCTGGAAGTCGCTTACGAGGCTGTGCGGAACAGGACCTTAAAGCCGCATTGATGATGTTGCCTAGGCTGGCAGCGAAGCGTCTGCAAAATAATCATTCAGCTCGGAGAGCAGTGCAAAACCCACATACACATCCCGAGTTGAGGTGCTTTTTTACCTGCAGCTGACGTGTATAATGATGATGATGACGAGCTGACTTCAATTCTAAGTTCACGAAAAATGCAGTTTGTCATCATCAACAGTACATCAACCATTTCAACTGATGCTTCGCTGCTGTACAATCACACTGACCTACGCAACGAAGAACCATAAGAGGGATAGAAGGGGTCACGACGCCTACACCATGCTAACAACACAAGGTCACAAACAGCTGGCTGTCGTGCAAAGATAAGGCGGCATCGGCGAGACAGCTTCCTTGCGGCTTTCGCTGCCCCACGTCATAATCAGCCATTACCCCTTAGATAACGGCATCAAACACACTTTAAACAGGCAGTCGGACTAAGAGACGACCGGGAGTCATGTCCTGTAACGTCTCGAGCCATGCACAAGGTGGGTCGCGTTGACTTTAGCCTAAAATGCGAGACGGACGGACAGCACCGAGTTTGGTTATCAGTGCGTTCATTTCCCACTGCCAAGTTAATTTTTTCCCCACCTAGGTCATTGCGCCACCCTATTTCTGGGAAACAAAACAAGGCCCTCCTCGGCAAGCGATGACCAGACATACGTAGTACGGGCTCACGCCAACGCAACTTATTCAGCACCATCTGTTGTTCTAAGGAAGTAGCCTGATTATCACTTTCGTTGCGAACACGTTGGTGTCGCCCAACACCAGCGACGCTTCGCAAACAACGATGATCAAAGACTTGAAGTCGCTACACCTACTCAGATCGGAGCAGCCAATTCTCACTCCCGTAGAATAGGATAGCCTTCTCTGTGGCCTTGTATGCACGGCCTTTTAGACGGAGGAAACCCTTTCTGACGCCACAGATGTCGCAGGTTCAAAAAATACAGTTCTAGCTTTTGCAGTTACGTGCACTTGAACTGAGGAACCACCGCTGATACGGACTCTGTTGGAAAATGCACAAACAGCACAGTTGTGAGCTCC